CCGATATCACTCCTAGTCCTTTGTAAATGTTACCCATTCCAAAAACTAATCTCCCCTAAGGCAAGACTCAGTGGCCTCACTTGGAGGCTGGGGTTTTCTGCCGTGCAAGGGGAGCAGGCGATCCCATGCTCAAGTTGAATACCGGAGGATTTGATGCTGGCCTGGGAGCCGGAGATGGACTCGGGGGCGTCATCTGCGGATAAGTACCAAAAGGGTTTTGGAAGTGAGTACCCTGTGTCGACGGTGGCATCAAAGGGGTATAGGGTCCTGCAAGAGTTGCCATCGTAAATTGGTCTCCAGTCGGCGTCGAAGCTGGAACCGGCATGAGGCCTCCTCCGCTATTCAGTGCAGGTGAATGGTCCGGTCGTTGGGGATAAGAACCTCGCTGCTGTGCTTGTTGAATGGGCGACCGCGATTGGAAGTTCGGTCCTGGGACTGTACCTGGGTAAGCCAAACCAGAGGGGAGACTCTTTTGGTTATACATGTTCGCTCCAATAGACTTGTCTGAGGATCCAGTTTGACACTCAAAGCGGGCCGTTGTGTGGTTCTTGTTGGGCGTGAAACTACGCTGATAGTCTCTATTCAATGCTTTGAATTGCTGAGCAACCGGCATATGCCCATACAAGGCGTTTGACTGCCCATTGAAGAGTCTGGAAGCTTGAACTTGACTGGGTAGACTTAGTGCAGGGCTTGCTATCGAAGGCTGATTGTCCTTATTGACCGAAGGTTTCAGGCAAGAGGGAACCCCCCCTGGAAGAGTGGGCTTCAACAGAGAGATATCGTAAATAGGCTTCTCTTCTGTTGCGACCTGGATTTGCTGTGTTGGAACTTGGCCAACTTCCGTGGGTTGTGTCTGGTTGGAGCTCTCCTGAGAAGATGAAATTGCAGATGATGCTGAAGACGGAGTGGACATTCCAGTAGCGGCAACGACTCGTCGTCGTTTCGGATTATCAACCGACGTCGAAGGTGGATAAGGAGAATCGGCACCATTACAAATACTAATAGTTGTTTGTCCAGACGACAGAACGGCTCTCTTGTTCGAGTTTCCGGTCGGATACTCACCAGACGACTCAGGTTGATGAGGTCTGACTTCGAGCTCGCATGAGGGCTGTGGTGTTTCCGGGAGTTGGACTAGGCTCATTTCCTGGTCCAGTGACTGGAAGTCCAGCAATTGCGTCTTTCGAGAGCTGATGGATTCGACACTTGACTCCCTTTGAGGGCTCAGTCTTTGCACAGTGTCCACAAATTCACTGAACTCTGGCGGTGGTGTAGGTTCTGAGACCAGCATTTGGAATGATGCTGGCAACGCTTTCTCCGAAATCCAATCCATGAGTACCTGGGCAATTTCATTGCTGTTCGTCTCGAGAAACATGAGATGCCCGTTGCCCAGAATGTTCTTGTCCTCAAGCTTAATCAGGTCGCATTTGACACCAGCTTGCAGCATGAAAGTCACCGTAGCCCAGTCGTACATGCCATGCGAGCTGGCGTGTGCCGTGACAACCGCATTGGGCACTTTCTTGATGTTGATGAGCTTGCGAGGCTTTGGAGCCTGTACGAAACACTCGCTCTTTCCATCAGGAGAAGTCAGTGTGGTTATGTCGAGCGGGTTCTTCTCAGGATGGTCATATCCTCCATGTGGATGTGCTGGAGGATCGTAGGTAAGAGGGATATCCGTCAATCCGTAGATTCGTGTCCCTTCCTCATACTGAATGAAAGGTGTGTACTGGCGGTAAGGGTTTCGTTCTTTGGGACATGCCGTGCCAAAAGGAGGTCCTGGTGGCTCGAGAACAATTACACCAGCGACGAGATCAGGCTCAACGTCGGTGGCTAGCCAAGCCCCAGCTCCGCCTGAGCCTTCGCCTACGAGGATAGACTTTCCGACATGACGCAGGAGCGCTTGAAGGGCATTCTGAGCGAGAGATTGACGCTCCACCTTGTTGAGGTGAAGAGTCTCCAAGGAAGCGCAGTACTTGGCGAAAATGGGATCCCCGCGTATTCCAGTCTATGCCCCATCAGTACTTGTATGTCAAGACACAGATATCTACACTTACGCCAGGCCATTTGTCATGGAATTTCGCCTTTGCATATTGGAGGGGCACGCCGACTTCTCGAGGTACACCAGGCGCAGTTAGGCTTGATTCTACTCCTCTTGCCGGGATAGAACTGGAGCTGAGGCCTGCTTCGCGGTGGATGTAATGGGAGGTTGTCAAAAAGTTGGAGCGACCAGAAGGGGGCAAATCAACGATGAAGACCTGGAAGCCTTTGTTGAGGAAGAACGAGGCCCATCCAGGCTGACCATCTGGCTTGGTTGTCTAGACCTACGCGGAGTTAGAGTCAGTTAGTGTGACGAATTCTGATAATATTGCTCACCTGACCAGTGTGAAAGTCTCCATGGATGAGGATAATAGGGTATGGATGGTGTCTCTTGAGAGGTTCCAAACACTCGACGTACATCTGGCCAACGATGTTCTTTGCAGTCGCAAGCGTCGAGCCCATGCTCCAGTCGACATTTACGAAAAATGTTGTCCGATAGGATGCTGCTTCTTCATTCTGCGCTGTCGGCTTCTGTGCTTCTTGTTGAAGATTGGGTAAGTCGGCGCTTTGGAGATCGTCAGGCTGAGAACTGGATAGCTCTGGGCGGGTTGACGGATCCGCAGAGTTCTTCTCGCCCGACGAAGGAGAAGTGTGGTTCATAATGAGTCGTTGGCTCGAGAGTCTGTCCCATGAAAAGAAACGCCTTGATCCGGAATTTGAGCGCCCGGTGTCGCTGAAGCTGCTCCTGGAAGAACGCCCTGAAATGATGATTATCTAGTGAAAAGAAATGGTTGTTAGGAGGCTAGGAGGATTAGCCGATTGCCAGTGTCTGCGCGCCGACGCTTCTCAGCGAGGAGAGTCAGCAGTGGTGAATGAAGAAAGAGGGAGGAAAGGTTGTTTAACTTGGTTGAGCCTGAAAATAGAGGCAGACAGATGAGGCCCGAGCGAAGACGCCTTCGAAGGACTTTTCTTAAAAGTCTAATAATATGGCGCAAGTGGTTCTTCAAGATCATGTGAAGTCCAAGTTTCCTCTCGGTAGTCGAGATGGAAGATTTGGTGTTGGGATGAGAAGTGCAACGTGCGAAGGAGTTACTCGTGGGTGGATGATGAAAGATCGACCGACCCTCAGATTCTGACGATACATAACCAACAGGTATTTCTGGTGCCTTTATTTGACCCCGAAAAGCCCTAAAGGATCACAATGCATCTCCATGCATGCTTCCTCTGTAAGTTATTGCTTGGTCGGTGACAGTTGTCAACAGCCGTTGAATGATTGTTCCCCGCGAATGCTAATAGGCGATGCAATGCACGGCCAATCATTCCAATTGTCTTTATACCCTCGTAGAATTTCCGTTTTCTCCTTTGTCTATCACCAATCTTTGGCTAAAAGGGATTGGCGTGCAAAAGCTCCGAGTTCCATTATTCAAAGATTCCCGAGTTTGTGGGCACACCACATAATCGCGAAAGAATAGATTCCCAACTGAGAAAACATATCTCAATGTGACCTTTTGTATCAACTATTCCTTCATCATCAGCAAGGGTGGCCGTAGTCCTCCATAAACGTAAATAAACCATGATATTAGAGCAGCCAGCTCTAGCAACTCAACCAGATAGCACATCATATCCCACAACGGCCAGCTCCCGTTTCCCTTACATCATGAGTTGAAGCCCAAGTGTTCATGGCGACGCAGGCTCAGGAGCATCATCCTTCATATCCGGCACCCAGCCCTTGGGTCTCTCACTTCCTCTCACCACAAGTCCGTACCCCAGCCTCTCAACCTTTTTGACACTCTGCCTCATCACAGCCATCTTTCCTCTCCAATCCTTCGTCGGCACATCAGGCAGGATCTCAAACTCGCACCCAAGCTCTTGAATATCACTCATGATATTTCGTCCTCCATTACCGGCCAATTCACCATTCTGAGCTGTCGTGACAGTCGCAAAACGCATCATCTCACCAAATAGATCGAAGATGCCGAACATGTAGTCGTTTGGCGTGAGGGCCATATCGCTGGGCATAGCAGCTTGTGCTTGTGTGGGTGTGATGAGAGTTTGGTGGCGGAGGTAGTGTGCGAAAGAGAGCGCCTCGACGAATTCTTCGAGACAGCGGAGAGAAAAGGTGTAGCGATACCGATTGACATTTTGGACATCTGGTGCGATTCCATTAAGGAGTTTGGAGATTTCTTCGAGGCGTGTATCTATGTCTTGTTGGATGTGAGGAGGGAAGTCCTTGTTGAGGTGCTTGACTCTATGATGTGTTAGCAGACTTTCACCTTCATACTGAGATAGATGTCAAAGAGCTTACCTCTGAAGCGTAAAGATGCTGCAAACTAGTTAGCAAAACTTGCACTTATAAGCCCGGGTCTTCGAAACTCACATCTTCTTACTCTGGGCAGTGACATCTCGCGATGCCTTCACAATTCTCTCTCGTCGATCATGATGCTCATCAAGCTCATCACGAAACCCTTCAAACATATCATGGAACCTGCCCCTTGGCCCAGCCTGCTTCGGTGGCCCCGCATTCTTCACACGGGCATTGCCGTCGCGATCTCTCTTAACACCGCCCGACATTATGACCCGATTGTTATAGAAATGCAGCTTATAAAAAAAGATGGTAGTCGATGATGTTGGAGGTTGGTTCGAGGCGGGTCTTGATTTGTTAGTGCGTGTTTGCAGGGATGACGTGAAATTTGTTAGTGGAGAGTGACAGCAAGCTCTCCATTTTTGGAAAGCAGCTTGATTCGGGCTGCGTTACTCAACATCAGCAAACTGCCATTGAGTGAGTGGCACACAACAAAAAGGTTCTTTTTTGGGTGAATCGGAGTAAGGGGAAAAACTGAGATAACTTGAGACGTCACAATCTGTTATAAGCTATGGTCTTATAAGCTCTTTACCCTCTCTATTTTGTCTCATCTCACTCCACACTCACCGCCAACTGTCATCTTCACCTCATCTCAATCTTCATAATGCCTTCAATAACCCCCTTCCTACGCACAACGCCACTCTTCACCATATCTCTCTTCCTCCGCCTCGCTCTTCTCTTCTACGGCCTCTACCAAGATGCCAATTCAGCCCTAAAATACACTGACATTGACTATCTTGTCTTTACCGACGCTTCCCGCTTCGTCGCTGAAGGCTCATCACCATATGCCCGCGACACATATCGTTACACGCCTCTGCTCGCCTGGCTGCTTCTACCAACCGTCCGATTCTCCGCCTTTGGAAAGCTGGTCTTTGCTGCGGCTGACCTCTTGGCGGGATGGCTCATTCTGCGCGTGCTTAGACGGAGGGGTATGGATGAAGCTACGGCTGGAGGCTTTTCCGCGCTGTGGTTATGGAACCCTATGGTAGCGACCATCAGCACCCGTGGAAGCTCAGAAGGCCTCCTGGGTGTGTTGACTATGGGTTTATTATGGGCAGTGGAGAGGAGGAAACTCAGTCTTGCCGCGATCATTCTGGGAGTGTCGGTTCACTTCAAGATTTACCCCTTCATCTATGCACCAGCTATTGTATGGTGGATGGACGATGCTCATTTAGGAAACGAGACAAAGTCCGCTACTCGTCCTTCATCATACAAGGAAGCAGTCTCAAATTTTTTCACGCCGGAGCGCCTCAAGTTTGGACTTCTCAGCTTTATAACGTTCATGATTCTCAACCTCATCATGTTCTCCATGTAAGTCCTCATACACGAATATCAGAGACAGCATAACTGATCAGATCACAGTTACGAGACCCCGTTCCTTGTTCACACTTACTTTCACCATGTCACGAGGATCGACCACCGTCACAACTTCTCCCCTTACAATGTTCTGCTGTATCTCACCTCTGCCACTCCCTCTAATGCTGCACCTTCATTCCGTATCGAGTCGTTCGCCTTCCTCCCTCAACTTCTTCTATCTTGTGTTCTCATTCCTCTCGCTATCGCCAAGCGCGATCTTGCAACAGCCATGATGGCTCAGACATTTGCCTTTGTTACGTTTAACAAAGTCTGTACCTCCCAAGTCAGTCATCCTCATCCTTATTGCTCGTCCATCAACTAACATATTATCAGTACTTCCTTTGGTACATGATCTTTTTGCCACTTTATTTGCCCAACTCATCTTTCCTCCGTAACCCTAAGCTGGGCATCTCAGCTCTGTTGCTCTGGGTAGTCTCCCAAGCTGCCTGGTTGCAACAAGGTTACCAGCTCGAGTTTCTCGGCATCAGTACTTTCTTCCCAGGCCTTTGGCTGGCCTCGCTCGGCTTCTTCCTAGTCAACTGCTGGATTCTGGGTGTCATCATCAGTGACGGCGCTGCTCAGTCAACACGATCAACCATTAAGTTCCACGTTGAATAAGAGCCACAGTATTGTGCCCCTTTCAGAAATTGGAAAAACAAAAGCAAGGGTGTAGTAAGCATGGATATTTTATTGATGATGAAGATAGCATAAACATTCAGACAATCTTATTCATCGATTATAATACCAAATCGCCAGTATCGTAGAGGGTATATGGAAGCTCGCATCCCCTGAGATAAATTACCTCACCGTCTTCTCTTCCATTTCGTGACTTTTCAACAGATCCCAAGCAAATTCTTCTCAAAGCCAAGTAAAGCCATACCAGCGGTTCCCGTGTATACATGCGCCCTCATAACTCCCAATCTCCTGGGTATGTGGTTTCAATTAACAGTTTCCTTTCCATAGTTCCAAACCTTGAACGCCGTCTCAAAACAAAAAGAGTGATGTATCATATGTATAATCCAGCGGTGTCGATCTTCTGGCTGTCTTCTGCGGCTTGAGATCCATAGTTTTTCAAATTGGCATGCATTTCTCACTGAATCGTGATGCCTGTCGCAAGAGATCGATAATTCGATAACTTGAGTGATGCAATCTTCGTCCTTGGGGGGTCAGGCGTAATGACCATTCTTCCGTCCTTGTTGTACACAATGTTGCCAAAGGACTCACTCAGCTCTGGAAAATGAACATCAGGGCGAACGCGACCCATCTCGGTCAAAATCCTCTCGCTCCAGACGCCAGAGCATGCACCCTTGCGCATTATGAAAAATGGGTTGAGAGGGGGTAGTACGGAGTCTGGTATTTACGTTAATTAGAGATTCAAGGTTGAGCTGCGGATTAACTTACCAAGATCAACAAACCGAATCCTCAGATAAACCACTTCCTTGAGCTTTTCCAGTGATCGAATCGCAGATAGTACCAACTTTTCAAAAGCATCGATGAAGCCCATATCTTGAATGCCAGAGCCAGCCTCATGGAAGCTTGTGTTGTATCGACAGCAATTCTTGACTGTCAGGTCCAGAGTCTTGAGTCGGGAAGTTCGTGGGTCAGTTGACCGCATAGCCACATCAAAAAAGTGGTGACAAACACGGCCAGTGTAGGCGAAATGCTCTAATGAAGGTAACGCCTCGGCCATCCTTGCACAAATGTGCGTCTTCTGTACGACCTTCGAATAGAATGGTGGCATAACCCCCTCTCGACGATAGTCGCTCTCGAGGCAAAGACTCAAATTCGTGATGTGACGTGGGAGTTTTGGAAGAAACTCGGCCATAGTAATATAGCTCTTTGACTTCGGTTTACTATAGGAGCCCTGCCACTCGTAAAGACCTGGTAAAGCATTCAAGACTGTTGCAAAGTCCTGATCATCTCGCATAAGATTCCACTGGCCCCTCGTGACTAGTGTCTGCACCGATTCGAGGACAGGCAGCGGCTTGTAGATGGCCGGATCGATCCTCTGCTCGGGAAAGTGAAGAACTCTCGGTGCCTTGCGTCGCTCTCCTCCTTCCAGGGTCAAAACTCTGGCCTGGGGTAAAGTCTGTCCAACGAATTGAAACACTTGCTCAAGGGTACAGTTGTTGCCAGGTAAAGTGTATGTCGCGTTAGTCAGTCCTTCCATGGTGACTGTAGGCAGCGTCAGAGTATTCGATAGAGCGACAGGTCCGTAGGTTGGTTGGAAAACAGGGAACCAGATCTCAATGTGCTTGACATATGATTGCAGGTGCTCGTGCAGAGCAAGGTGAACCATAGCATCTTCCAGGCAGTCCACAGTAGCTTTTAGTTTGATATGACGATACAGCCGCTGTTGAACAAGAATTCGCCAAACATCGCTCACAAGCGCCAATTCCGTCAACTCCCTTCTTCTCGAATGTCTAAGTGCCGTCCCCCAACTCTTTGTAATACTCGATACGGCCATTGAACTTCGCGATGTAGCGGAAACTCGATACCCGAACAGGTGATCCAGTATCGCTTCATGTACCTCAATTGGCAGCTGGTTGAAGTCGGTTATAGGGCGAGGAAGGACCACCGGCTCGTTATCGGGGAAAGCGGTAGAGTCGGTGGGAGTATCGTGGTCGGCGCCATGCAGAGAACCGCTAGAGCAGCATGGCTTGGAGTGTCGGCGATCAGGGTGAGGGAATGGTGTACTGCTCGGTCTCGTCGGAGGAACGAAATCGGATGTTTTGGCTTGATCGTGAGAAGGGCTGGACGAGCCGGGAGAGACAGGATTGGAAGCGGTATTGAGAATGCCGTTCAGCATGGACGTAGCCATGATGGAGGCAAATTCTGTATCGGAATCGGCATCATCGTCTCGATCATCGCTCAGGTCGTTCCTTCGTGATGTATAACTATCTCGGATAGGTAAAAGGGCGGATGCAGGAATCGAGGTAGGACAAGGCGCACGCGGGCCAGTATGGCCATCATCGGCCGTATCCATAGGTTCACTGATAGAGTCTCCCATGTCGATATCGATATCGGTATCTGATTGCGATTCAAGTTTCTCCATAAGATGGCTCCAAGGCCGGCACGTGGTGCATCTCAATAAGGTCGGGCCGGGTTTGGATGATGGCACTCGGATACAAGATACAGCGGCGGTTGTTGGATGAAGAGGAGCAGATTATGGTTGAAAGTGAACGAGGAGAAGATAGTTTATCGACCACAAGGTTCAAGGGCTGGAGATTAAGCCCCCAACGATTCGGTTGGTTCACGGTGGACACAGACGGACGGGAGAGGGAACAAGAGGGATGAGAAACAGGTGATTGACCTCCAGGGAGGGGAATCGTAATAAAAAAAGGAAATATGATGGGTTGCGATACGACAGCCGATGAGATGGGAACCCCGAAACCAGGGTCAGTCAATCAATGAACTCCACGGTTACGGACGAAGGCGACGAGAGGTGATTTCGTAAGATTGAGATGTTGAATATGTAGGCAAAGAGAGTTAGGGGAGAAGCAGAAGAAGAGAAGATAGGTAGAGAAGAATCGGGGAATGGAAATGGAGATGGAAAATAGAATGACGGGACGGGGAAAGGATTGAAAGATGAGCCAGCCGTTGCGTTGAGTGGGAGTGGGAGTGAAATTGGAAATGAGAGGCGTTGATTAGCAGATGCTGCACTGCACTGCAAGCACCGCACTTTACTGAGGTGCATAAGGTACCTAAAAGGTAGGTAGCGAGAGACTTCCCCCTCACTCACTTCTGCCTTTGCTATCATCCAATCCACATTATTTATTGTTGTTATTATTCTACAGCTGAGTAACCCGCTGCTGGCAACTGAACTAAAGCTACTAAAATTGATTGTCATATTTGTCTTCATTGTCTCTCCCTTCCTTCAGTACCCGTCTCACTACTCAACCAACCAAGCCTAGGTAAGGTAGATTGCGTGGGTGGTGGCAGCGATATCCGGGTCTTGTTTTGTCTTGAGTGGCAGTGAAAGTCTTACATAGCCTTGCAAATGTGCATGCTGGCTCGTATTGCAACCCGCCCATTCTGATCTGGCCTTTCAAGATGAGGCATCGATACTACCGTCCCCGTCATGGCCACGTCGTCGCAACACATGACTCTGCTTGTTTGGTAAGTGCAGTTGCATCTTGTTCATGCTGGCACAGGAATTGTCCACGACGGATCGTTATCAAAGAACCTAGTGGAGGTCGCGTGCTTAGCGGCAACGGATCTCCACAGCAAGGAAGACAGGACAAGACATGTGGGAGTCTAGCTTTAACGGAATTGTGGTTGTAACTGCAGGTAACCTACCAGCAACGGTTCTCTAGCAACGATCCAAGACAAAGGGAAACCAGATTCATCTCTTGTTATCTTGTCCATATGGTAACAGGCGCTGAAATCATGGCTGGCTGCAACAGGTTCCAGCGCCAGTAGATAAACCTTAGCACCTCCACTCTCCTCTCTGCAGCCCAGGCGATCAACCATTTACATGGATCACATCCAACCCACCCAAGCCGATGAACGCCTCACTTTGACCAAATGTGTCACCCAAGTCCTCAGCCCAGCCTCGGCCTTGGGTTACTAACTAATAACGCGCCGACTGAATCAGCAACTTATCACGTCATTGGGCACAAGGCATCTCCAAACTCTATCCAACCTCGACCCAATGGTCAGATTCTTCTGTCCAGAATAGCCTCTCGCTCGAGCCAACGCATCATGATTTCCACAACAACCCCCTGCAAGACCCTGAAAGTTGTTCATCTGCTAGCGCCGCGCCAGGCGCGATCTCCTCGGCTTTGCTTATTTCCCGTTTCTCCTCTTGTTGATGCGTTATCGATTCGTTAGTCGCGACGCTATCAAGTATTCATTCCAAGAGCCAGCTTTTTGTTCGAGGGAGCCGTCAGATGAAGTGAGTATTTTGTCTGGAACACAATTGATTGTCTCCAGACGCCATTCAATCCAGTATTATGACGTGCCCAGGTCGCTACGGAGCAAAAAAAAAGCATGAGATCTTCAATTAGACAGTTAAAAAAAAGTCAATCAAAAGTCTCCTACGCTTATCATAAAACTGACCGAGTGTTTTTGTCAATTACAATCATGGTGTCATATTCAATGTAGCATCAAATTTTGATCATCCTGGCGTACCCTATATCACTGTGCGTAGTCATTCAACTTTGGCTATGTGTTCGTAACCATGAGGCAGTGCATTTTTAAGAAGGTAACTCTTTTCTCATATACTGACTTGTCGAAGAATATTGGCATATATGATCTTCCTCAACTGCCGATGATCTTCTTCTGCATGAAGATCCTTGTCATAAATGGCAACAGTTTGCAGAGGCTCCATAGCAAATGCCGAATCCTTATCTCACCTCTTAATTCACAGAAGGGCTCTTCTTCGATCGCATCATCGTAAGATATTTTGGATTTATGAGCAGACCTTTAATAGTGCATTTATTGAATCAACTCTCATTTCCTTGAAGGCTGTTCAATAAATGTTATCGACCTCCAATCCTACCAGCGACCGAAGGTCAATCGATTTACAATAAACAACGATCTGATTCCTACTGCCTTTTGGCTTACACGTCAAAAACAGGTATTCTTGAGTTTTGTCATTTTATAAATTAGATAAT